TAAGAATATCGATACAAGAGATAAACCGAGTGAACATCCAATGATATAAAAATTCAATCGCTCATACTTTAAAAAATTTAATTTAACTTTCCAATAGACATTTTATATTTAATAAAAATAGACAAACTCATATAGAATAGTGTAGTGAATTTTCAAATCTAGATGAATTTTTAACTCAAAATCATTTCAAATTTTCGTYATTTTTGCATATTTCGTCAAAGTTCGAACTTTAAATGCTCATTAAAAAAATGTGACTATGTATTTTTAATATTTTTTAACTACCATTATTACAATAAATTAATATATAAAGGCATGATATTACATTTTGAAGTTTTTTTTACCCATCGAATAAAAATGTATTGACATTTATAGGAAAAAAATTGAAGATTAAAAATATCTATAAATAATTTAAAATACATATAGTCAAAACTAGATACTTTTATTAAGTCAGGCACTCAGGCCAAATKAAAAATATAACAAATACTTATATAATATAGTAATTTTGTTTAATAAATATTTTTTTGCAATTTAAATATTTAATAATAAATAAAAAATTATAATAATTAAAACTTTTATAATAATAAACGACGATTAAATGGTACACATTTTTTAAATTCTTCAATGACATTCTCAACATCAACGTTATTAGTCAAAGATTGATTATGATGGATTTTTTTGTATCTAAGAAAATAATCACAGACGAAAATAATATTGAACAAAATTAATTCCGAGTTTAGTCACACACCGTCTTTTTTGGACTAAAAATACCTGTAAATTGAACAAGCAATAGTTAATTGTTTTAAATAGCATTAAATTATAGCTTGACTAAGCTTACTCATTGTAAGTAATTTGAAAAATTATAAATACCCGATCTTTTAGACAGCGATGCGACTAACGGAACCTCCGTCGTATAATAAATAAATTATTTGGTGATGTATACTAATGTGTAAAATGTATAAAATAATAATTATTATTATTATAATTAATATGGTACTATACTTTAAATAACAATTAAAATATTTAACTTATCCTTTATATATCATAAAAAAATATTCCAATTAATAATTAGCCCTCCACGATTTTGTAATGTAAGAATCTTGTGATTTATGAACAATCGTCAGTCAATGATAAAAATAAGAATTTATACTAAAAGAAATTATTTGAAAATATTTAAGTAGGTACCTAGATAGAATCGACAATAATTGTCTACGAGTAACAAACGTTATCAATTGGCGACTTATTACGTAAAATAAACTATTACTTGCTATTACCTATATAAAAATAAACATCAAATGTCTAAATTAAACAATAAACAATAACTGATAAAACCAATTATTCGAGTATAT